TGGTGTCACACACATGTTCGGCTAAAGCTGATTTTCCCTTGTCTAAAGTTGAAACAGCCTTTTGATGTTCTTTTAGCCGTGTACCAAACTGGCGTTTACACTGACCCAAATACTCTTTGTCGCAGTCACCGCATGGTATAGAATATATAGCATGAGTCTTCTGATTTTTTCAACAGGATCTTTTGGCTTTGCGAAAATATGGCCTAAAGTCAATATTTTCGCAAAGCCAAAAGATCCTGTTGAAAAAAATCAGAAGACTCATGCTATATATTCTATACCATGCGGTGACTGCGACAAAGAGTATTTGGGTCAGTCTAAACGCCAGTTTGGTACACGGCTAAAAGAACATCAAAAGGCTGTTTCAACTTTAGACAAGGGAAAATCAGCTTTAGCCGAACATGTGTGTGACACCAAACACGAGATTGCGTGGGAAAACTCTAAAGTAATTACCACAAACAATCGCTATGGTCAAAGACTTTGCCTATAGAAGCGTGGCATATAAATATGAGTCATCATGCTTTGAATAGGGATGACGGCGCCTATTTGCCAGAGGAATATATGAGAAAGCTCCGCTATTTGAAAAGAGAAAGACACTAGACTGGAGTGTCGAAACGTTGGGTCTTGATTACAATTCGACTGGGCTTTGTAATCATTTATTTAAACCAGAGTAGCGAGCGAAACATATTCCAGTGATGTTTTTTTTTATCATTTTACAAAAATAATATTCAATAGGCCCATAGCAAAAATTATTTACTTAAGGACAATATGTGCGACTGAATTCTGAAAAGTGTAGAGAACAATGGCTCTTCAGAGTCAGAGACAGAATTAATTAAAGCAGTGATTATATATGCTTGACTTCAACCTAGCCGATTTACACTACAGTGTGTATAAAAAAAAGTATAGGCTTTCAAATTTAAATCAAGCATAACGCCGTATTCTAGTGAATTCATCTGACTCGACAAGCTATAATTGCTTCGAACAAGTTAGCGACCCGTATAAAACAAAACTCAAAATACTTTCTATTTTGGGACATGTACGAACAACTCAATGAAATACCCTGTACAGTACAAGCAGATTAAAATGAAGTTATAATTGATCTCTTTTGTAAGTAAGACATGTTTTCGACGCGTATCATTAACTCAAAGCAGTCGAGAACAATCAAATCACTAATTATAATTATCGTTAATTTGAAAGGCTATTCTTTTTTTTAAACACACTGTTTAATCTGCATGAGTCAATGGGACTTAAAATTCTTTTGAAATAATCAAATTCCAGTTTCAAAACGTTAAAAAATTGTATTTGAATGAATTTATAGTTGTTATTAAAATTACTAGCGACCATATTTAATCCCCAAGGGAGTTCAGACCAATAGATGCTTTTTACGAGGAACCAATCATGGCAAAGCTTTTGTAAGCTAAACCAATCAGAAAACGGGTGTGGGTGTGGTTTCATGTTTTCGTGGCGAATTTTAAAATTCTGCTCGGAGCTTCTGGGCGTCATCATTTTGACTTGAAGTTTAGCAAAGTACATATATAAGTTGGTCCAGAACTTCGCTTTTATAAAACTTCTTCGAAATAAAATCATTATTCTATGTAGAAGGACAGGTTAGTAAGACATTTAGTTGCCTTTGAAACGTTTTTGAGCTGTTTTTGTTAAGTTTTAACTACTGTTTTAAACACGTTCTATGAATTCATTAAATTTCCCTTCCCATTCAAGCGCTTCTTTCTCGCTTTATTTTCTTCGTATTTCTCGCCAGTTTTTTAGCAGGAATGTTCAGAAATACCTCTCATTTGACGTATGTAACTTATATTTGTTTTCTCTGCAGTTTTAGCCAAACATTTGACGAGAAAATTGACTTAATACGATCGCCGGTCGAAGACTCGAACACGTGGTAAGCATGGTGGCCATTAAAGGCTTTTGGTTCTTGTTTGTAGCTCGCTTTATAAGCTTCCCTTATACAAGTAAAACGTCCTTTATCATTGTTGAAGCTTTATGAACACTCTTAAGTTGAGTTTTGTATAATTTTATTGAACATTTTGTCCGTACGGAGCGAAATGCCGAATTGTTTTGGGCGTGTGCAATTTCATGCCTTCTTGACTTGTCTGACCCCGTCCTTCAATGTCTTTCATTTGCGGTTCCTCTGCCCCCTTCGCTAAAAACTAACCCTTGGACATTTGTTGTCGAACATGGGTATCAACATCCAGTGTGACCATATATGCAAATTTTTTTACTAAAGCTGCTTAAAATTGGTTGGCTGCCCCCTCCTGTTCTTAATGTTGCAGTTGTTTAAAGCAGGTGGGGTTGTCTAAGGGCATCCAACCGGATCTGGTAATAAAATGTACTAAACCTGGTCACACTGTCAACATGAGCCAAACCTGGTGAATTGGGCGACCATTATGCCTTTGCAATTAACATTAATGTTGAAATGTTTAAAACTATAAATTAAATTTATTATTCAACTCTTTGACTTTTAGGCTGCGTCAAGACCGATAATTTTGAAGGCAAGAAATACAGAAAGTTACAGAAAGGCCTCTACACTTTCCATTAAGAGATGCTAGCCTAGCATGCAGAAAAGAGGCGAAGATTGAAGGATGAAATATGCAGACTGCCATCTAGCCTGCGTAATAGACTTAGTAACTCAATTCCATTGTTAACCATCTGTATTCATCATCCGATTTCGTTTGTGCCAAGTTTGGAAGAGATTGCTACAATGTTCAGTCGTAACAGATGCTGCACGAAAGACAAAACAGAGCGGGCAAGAAGCAAGCCATAACACCATAGTCTAACAGTGACAGATAGCCCAAAAGCTGATCTAAACACACATTAATTAATTCAATCAATCAGCCATGCATGGCTTGTCAAATCACAACTGATGGTGTACCATCCAGACAACCTAACACACCATCGTTCAACCTGTGCCACACCATTGTTCAACGCCACTTCAACCTCCAGCACTGAGGAATGCCAGCTTCTACTCATCCTGGCCAAGTTGACATACATCACACAAGGTATATCAGTCGAAAGTAATTGTGTTAATTTTGATAAAAGAAATCGACTCTACCTAGGGTTTAGTTCTGTGGGTCCAACTTTTAAAACGTGTTTTCATCGACAGTTGAAAGTAATTGTTTAGATGAAAGAAATGTTTTTCAACACTTTACTGAAAGTTTGGAGTAGCTAGGTTGGGGCACTTTTTGAATTTTTCAAAAATTTCCGGTTGTCCCCCTTTGTCGACCCTATATAGGGTTGCCTTTGGTCCTCCCTCTTTGCATTTGACCTAAATTTTAAAAGAAACGGTTTTCAGCCATCGTAGCAACATTTGGAGTAGTTTTGGGAACATATTTAATTTTAATAAAAGTGGTTCCAGGAATTATTATCTGACTTTGTCACTTATGCATATAATTTCTCATATTTCAGATTCTCGTTGGTCGTGTTCGAAAGTACGTGGGACCACCCTGATGACGCCCAGATGTACAAAACAAATTTTAACATGGTATCTTTTCTATAATTTCTGAAATTTTTCAAATTTTACACATTTCCTGGTATTTGTTGAAAACTGTTAACGAAATTAAGAATTTCTGAAATTCGGAAGGTTCTATCTGGGAGTTTGTTTATTTGAAAGATATTTGAAATGAAATTTTGAAATTTACATCACTTTGGTATTTGGTTTAAACGCTAGTTAAAATCATGCCGGATGAGCGACTGACCATTCGTCAGGGTTCCGTGGTATTTGGGTTCCGAGTTTTCCCGACCTACAGTCGAGTTGCTTCGATCGATTATCATGATCAACTAGCACAGGTGCAAGGTCTGGCCAACCTTACATCTGTGCTTTTTGTTCGTGGCATGAGATTGGGGTAGTTCGCCTGTGGGCCTGGAAAGATCGAACCAAAATGTCGCCAAAGTTTGATTTGTGGTCAGTTTTTTGTCTGTATGGCTTTATCCAGCGTTTTCCCGTTACCATTTTGATGCAGACTTTGGGATTTTGGCTTGGATATCTTTAATATAAACATTCTTTGAGGTTTAATCTTTCAAGAATTTCATGGTTTTTGACTAGTTAATGTGTTAACAAAAAAAAATTAAACTGACCAAAACATCATTTGTGGTGTCAGATGGGTGGTCCAATGGTAGACGTAGTTGGTATTAATGGATTACTGTGTACTTCTGGGAATATTGTGAACATTTATGGATCATTATGAACATTAATGGATTACTATGAACACTTGTGGAATATTTGTGGATAAAAAACGGTTACCTACCAATGTACCTTAACAACAACGAGCTGCACAACGGTAAAGAGAGGTCTGCCTTCAGGTTAGAGGATTAGGTGATTAGCCTGCTATCAGGCAGTAGTTGGTCTGCTAACAGGCAGAATTCGTAGGATTCGCACCCAAGACTTTAATTTGCATGTGTTCGGTGAAGTCTCTGGGTTAAACTAATTTAAAATTCCTGGCGGTCTGTCGTTAGTAGTACATTTGCACAGAAGGTTGATTTTTTATTCAAATGCTTGCATGCTGATAAACTTTGAAGTAAAATTTCGGTATCATTTGCAATCGAAAGTCAATCTTAAAGAGGTTAGCATTTGAGCTTTCGGTCACGTGGTTCTTTGCATGCACTCGGTTCGGTTATTGGTGGGTTTCAGTAAGAGTTACAGCCTACATGATGTCATGAATATCAGAAATGTTGACATTCGCTGGAGCAATTATTTTGTTTTAAATACAAGACTACTACATAAAATGAAAAAGAGTGAACACTATTTTTCACTCTAGTAACTCGTACTGAAACCCACTAGTTATTAATAAATTTGCGGTCTATTCGTGCCAATGTTCTTCTCTTTGTGTCAAATGTACTGCTTAGGTGTCTGTGCATGGATAAACGCAGCGCGTAGCTAGTATTCAGAATATAGGCAGACAAGTAAAACCTTGCCAGGCTTAAAAATTTTGTTTATATCGATATGTTATGTTCATAAATGTATAGAAAAGTCATGAAATGGGTTAGGCTTCGGGTTAGGGTTAAATCTAACCCTATAACCTTATCCTTAACCCATTGCATGATCTGTATATTTGTGTACATATCGTATGGGTGTAGCCAAAATTCTATGTTGAAAAGCTGGCATAGTTTTCCTTGGGTAGGATAACTAAACTGGGTGCAAATGGTATCCATAGCTTAGAGGGTGCAAATGGTACCCGTAAGAAGATTGGTGGATATCGTGGTGGATTGTTTGGAAAAGATACTGGTGGGTATTAACTTAGGACTGTAATACAATTGTTGTAAAGATAAATAGTCATCGCCCGTAGTGCATGTATATCGCTGGTTTCGAACGTTAGTTTTCTGACCCGGGTTATATGAAAACAGTTCGCTACCAGAGATTAGATCCCCTCTCTGTTACGGCGGCTCGACGATGGAAGACATTAACATAAGGCATGCTAACCTTACCCCTGTTTGTGGAAGCTCATCAGGTGCAATGGCACACTAGGTTAAGTTAAGCTAGGGGCATGACCGAGACTCCACATTCGGGGGTTTCCCTTGCAGGTGTTTGAAAGATTATAGTCA